AGGGGAGATTTGCCCTTCGCCGGATGGAGATCTGCCGATGGTTGCCCTGGATCCAATCTTTATCGAGAACTCGGCGGTAGTCCTTTAGATCGGCTGGCGGCCGAAGATGCTCGTCGTTCTGCCAAGCGAGAAGCCTTCATGCGGCAATCTTCGGCTCTGACGATGAGATGAGTGATGAGTCCTTGGCGCCGAGTAATCGCCACTCCTCGCGACATTCATCGATGGATTCTGGAGACGGGACGAGTTCTGCCTCTGCGTCGGCTTCAGGGAAGCGGCAGCGTCGCAAGCGTCGTGCCTCGTCGAGTCCAACCGGTCACGGTCGAAGCGTCCAAGAAGCACAGAAGCACAAGAAGCATCACAGAAGCACCGGCACCACAAGCATCGGGAGCCTGCGTCAACTCCTGATCCGGCTCCTGCACAATCCCTTTCGGCTGATCCTTCGCCAAGTGTGCTCCCGGTAGCGTCGGTTCTCTCTCAGCCGAGTTCGACTGCATCACGTCCGGCTTCGGTCACTCTGCCCAGCGCTCTTTCACTCCCGCTGGCGACTTTACGGGATCGGGCCTCGCAAGCAGTTTCCAAGGATGGTCGCTTCACTCTTCACATGGCTCAACTCCGCGAGGTACCATTTATGCATTTCGACTCAGCCCGTTGTTGGAATGCGTTATTGGATACACTGAGCGGAGGGATGCAGCTGGAGCTCATAGGCGGTAAGGGTCGCGTGCCACCCACGCCGTGTTCTCTTGACGGCATACGAGCTTTCATGGCTGTTTTTGATCCGAGCCATCCTTGTCAGCGTCTTCGGCGGATGCTCTCTGAGCGTCCTTTCTTCTTTTCTCCGTCGGTACTGGAGGAAGCTCGGCGGTGCTTGGCTTCTCAGACCCGACCTCGAACTTTGATGCAAGTTCTTGGAGATATGTGGGTGAAGCTTCGTGGCGACAGTCCTTTGGACTCGGCGGGGAGGCCCATCAAGACAGATGGCGAAATGACCAGTTATTTTGTTGCTCTCTATGAGCGTCGTCATTGGATCGTCGAGTCAAGTGTGTTGATGGGTCTCCATCCTGACGTCAACCCGGCTGCCACGCCCGCTCAGCTTGCTGATGTGTATGAGCTGTGGCTGGTGTACAAGCGCGAGCGCAAACGCCGTAGTGATACCCTACGATCCTTGGTTGTCGCTGTTTACGACCAGCTTTACTCGGCGGTCACTCAGAAGCTCGGCGATGGACCTGCTCCTCTTGTGGACGCAGAGGTTTATTTCGATCCGTCCGTCCGCCATTACTCTCCCGTTAACCTTCGTGGGTTCCATCCGGGAGAGACTGGGTCCAATGTGCTCACGATGTGGATCTAGCCGAGCCCTGGCGAGCTTGGTGGCTAACTGACCCGGCGGCTCACCCGTATAACACATGCTTCCGCGCTCGGAACGTGGACTTCTTGGTTTTCGCTCCGCGCGGTATGGATCCTCAGGTTGTTGACGACGCGATTGAAGAAGACTTCGATATTGCCGAACAAGCGCCTTCTGCATACGCTCAGGGTGCTCCACCTCGGCTGAACCGTCAAGGTATCCACCTCTTCACTGGGGCTTCAATCGGTGAGCTCGGCTCGGATGACGAGAGTGCTTCTGATGACGACTCGGCGGACGACGGGTTGGGTACTCCCAATCTCCGAGGCGCGTCTCCGAGTATGTCTCTGTTCGGCACTCCACTCCCCAGTGGAACGGATCCGCCTCAACCCACTTCAGCCGAGTCGGGTTCTGAGGCACCGGTTTTTCTTCCACCTGGTTCGGCGCCAGTCTCTTGGCTAGCTCGGCGATGATACTTCTTGCCACGGCTGCGGGTGTTGCATCTCCTTCCGCAGTTTCCCAAGGGGCGACGTCTGCTAGGACACCACGCGTCCAATCGTCGAGTCCGCTGAGCTCTTCCCAGTTGTCTCCGTCGGGTTCAACTCACTTGGAGTCCGGATCGCCAACTTTTTAATTTTCTTCTTTTGACTGGGCGTCCCGTAAGTATCGTTCAGGACTTCATTTCGTAATTATTCAGTATATGTAATTTCGACACAGTAGCATTCCATCTCAACTCGGCCTGTGTCGTCCGCTGAGTTGGTGTAACATTTGGTGCAATAGCTGTTAATCCTCATCTGCAACTTGCACCATTTGCAGACGGTTTTCACGCTTCTTCTGTCGTAGATAGTCAAACAGGAGACCTCCACATGACAAATTCGACAGTGGTTCCCAAGTAAGTTCATCGTAGCCGACCCACTTAACCTTAAACTTCCGTTGTGACCGGGACGTACTCGTGGATAATGGTAGCTCATCGTCGAGAATTGCTTCGACTTCATACTGGTTCGTACTTGTGTCTGGCTACCAGCTGTCTTCAGGCAGTAATTCTTCGTCAAAGTCAAATCGCTGAGTCTCTTCGAGGTCGGCGATTAGCCCCGTCTTTGGTCTTCCGCCGAGTTCGGTGACTGCCTTCAGACGTGATACATGGACCACTGGGTAGAGTCTATATCCACTCTTGTCGGGTAACTCCAATTCATAGGCGAATTCTTCCACCTTCTTCTTCACCCTGAATGGTCCATGCCATCGGTGGGCCAACTTCTTGGTCAGGCCCGACTTGACTCGCTCCATAAACAATCAGACTTGATCTCCTTCTTTGAACAAGGATTTGGTGGATTCATCGCCTGGTTCTGCAACTTCATCTTCGTCATCTGCTGTGTTGGGAATGGATCTTTTCTCCTTCTTGCTCAACGCTTCGTTGTGCTCCCGAGCTCGTCGTGCTTTCCCTCGCACTTGGAACTCAGCTGCTAATCGAAGTGCCACTTCTCGTTGTCTGTTCGCTTCTCGGCGCCACTCGACTGCGTCCGCCGAGTTGACTGGGCGTCCCTGTCCACGTCGTATTGAACTCGTCATAGCCTTGAGTGTAGACTTGGCGTCCCAACCATGTACCAGATAGAAAGGGGTTTCTCGCCGAGTCGAATCTCTTGAGTTGTTGATAGCGTGTACCATCTTGTCGGCGATGTCATCCCAGTCGGCTTGAAGTGGGTCTTCCACGTAGACCCGTATAGTCTGAACCATTGTCTTGACTGACCTCTCTTGTTGACCGTTGGATTGTGGTCGGTAACTCAGCGTAGCTCTTGATGTCGACTGCATCATCTCGGAGAACTTTTAGAATACTTCACTCATAAACCTTGGATCTCGGTCGTGCCGTATCAGAGACGGAGCCCCGAACTGCCTGAAGACGCATTCCTCAAATACCTTGGCCACTTCGAGTGCCCCGGTGTCATTCATAGCCTTAGCGATAACGAATCCCGTGAGGTGGTCCTGGAACAGCAGCAGTGCAGTATTGCCCCGCTGAGTTCGAGGAAGGGGAATCACGAAATCCATTGACACGACTTGGAATGGATGGTCCGACACCACATTTCCCGGCGAGTAACCTCTCAACTGTGGCTTGCTCTTACTGGTATTGCAGTCCTCGCAGGCCCTAACATGTTTCACCACGTCGGCGTAAAGACCAATCCAGTAGTAGTCGGCCTTGACTCGGTGATAAGCTCTGACGATGCCCTGATGCCCTCCTTCGATCGAGTTGTGACAGTTATGAAGTATTTCGTCGACCATAGCTGACGGAATCACCAATCTCAATGAGAGGTTCGGTTCGCCGAGTTCGCCCAGTCGGCGAGCTTCATCTCGGCGGTATAACAGGCCGTCTTCGCTGAGTACAAAGACTTCTGCGACTTTGCCGGCATTCTGAGCTCGACGGTGTGTAAGGTCCTCAAATTCGCCTCTCAGGTACGCTTTCAGATCGGCCCACCTGAGTTCTTCATCTTGTGCCTTCGCGATTCGTCGTCTCCGCTCAGTCTGTACTGTCACTGGATCAATGTCGTTGGCATTCCTAGCTGTCTGGGCTGACTCCATCTGCGACCCTGTTTCGACATTCGGGGTCGTGTGGTTAGTCCGCCGAGTCGACGCCCTGCTGACTTGTTCGAATTCATCTCCACTGCTTTCAAACGCAGATTCTCCAGGATTTGTTGATATGGCTTCGTGATCCTGACTTCCTCCTCTTGCTCTAGCCGAGTCTTCATCTAGCTCGTCCTCAAAGTGAACTCGGCGTACTCGGCTACGAGTGACTGCCGTGACAATCGGGGTTTCCGCTGGGTTGTCTGTGGCGCACAGTTCTTCGGCTACTCGGTTAATCATTC